TAGAATTTTGATGTAGTCAAAATATTTTTCTGAGAACTTTTATTTTTCTCAGTGTTCAGGTCTGTCTCAGTCATAAATTAATTTAATAATATGAATGAGATAAAAATATATGAATTAAATCCAAATGATTAATATGATGTTGTCAAGGGTCAAAATTATGATTTCTAATCTTATGAAATCACTTTTGAATTGAGTTTATTTTATGGGTCAAAGTTACAAATTTTAATATTTAAAATTGACATAACTTGAAATCTATAAATCAGATTGGTTCATAAAATGTGTTGTTGGATTCGTCTCTTCGAAACATATCCATAAAAATTAAGTTTTTAACAAAAAGTCATTATTTTGAAATCCCTTTATTTTTTGTTGGTCAAACGTCTAAATATTCTTCATTGGTCAAAGTGATATTCAAATTTACTTTTGTTTTATATTAAATTTTAGGCCATATTTTGTGGCGTTACACTATTGCCAACTTACAATCTCAATTCTCACAAAGTAGTCCTAGAGTTCTCCTAGGTAACCTACGTGATTCACTTAGTTTTTTGGCCTCAGGTCCAACCTATCAACAAACCAACTTTACTTTTATTCATACAAGACATATCACATTGTATATACAATAAATCAAGAGAATAGAAATAGCTAAATAGATCATCATGCAATCTAAATAACGACCTAGTGTCAGGTGTAAACACCTTCCACATACCGTCATGCAACACATAAGGTTTTGGAATCAATTCGGGTTCCAAATCAAGTAAAAAAAACAAATAACAGGGATTGTAGCTGCCGGTACGATACGTGTCACGGTACCTCAGCACTGCCTGGCGGTACCTTGGTACCGTTGGCCTGATACCGCCCTAACGTTCGGGCACACTTACCGCCAGTGCAAATTGGCCTGTGGCAGTAGCCGGGTACCATTAGGCGGTACCTAGCTACCTTCTGACATCGGAAAAGTAAAAAAACAACATAGTTCGATCCAATTCGAGACCATACAATACATATAATGTTTTCAAAGATTATTATCTTGCAAATCACACAATTTAGAGTAAGAAAATGTACCTAGTCGTCCTCGTTCAATTAATTCCAATAATATCATATAATTTTAACAAATTGGATTTAACAATAAAACCAAACAAATCACCTAATCAATCATACACAACTATGAACGTGAATTTCAAACCTACATACGTGATTTAGCGTTAGATGTCCACGTACTCACGTTGATTATTGAAGACGAATTAAACGAATTGACAAACCAAGCGAACGGCCAAGAACGACAGCGAACCCAGTGGTGGCGGTGGTCTGTTTCTTTACGCGGCTCTGTTCTGTAACCGGTCTCTCTTTCCCTTTTTTGTTTTAATGAGTGTGCGTGTACATATGTAGATGGGAGGGGGCTGGGGTTTTCCATTTCCAAAAGGGGGTAATTTAGATTTATTATATTATTTTTGTTAGATGCCTCGCACACCTCTAGGGGGGGTGAATAGAGATGTTGCCCAAAAGACCAATTTTTTTTTTGCGCGGAAACGTTCTTCACGAATATTCAATAAAAAACAATGCACCACAAACAAAATAAAGTGAAGGATAAGAGCAATGCACACACGATATATACTGGTTCGGCCTAAATGCCTACATCCAGTCCCTGAAGCAATCGTGCCCAGGCCTTCACTAACCCGTCAAACTTAACGAAGTTTGACAATCCGAATACAACTCGAGAACCTGATTTCACAAGCCTCTTATCTTACCACCGAAGTTTTGATTTCACAAAACTCAGGATTTCTTCCACCTAACGTTTGATTTCACAAACCGTTAGGATTTCTACCACTTGGTGTAATCCCAACACCAAGAATACAAATCCCTTACAATAAAGTAAGAAAACAAACTGCAACCGAGTTATTCTCCCAACACAGAGTAGATTGATGCAAATACAATGAAGTCCTTTAGAATATGGCAATATCTCTCAAAGACTCAAGCAATGAGGAAAAACTCAAGCAAGAAATGATTTAGCAATCAAAACAATTGCCTTGCTTGGATATAAGGAGAGGATTGAGTAGAATCTCTTTGGATATTCAAAGGATATGTTCTTCAAAGTGTTCTAAGTGCTCTTTTGAAGATAATCACGAAAGTAGGTAGTTTATAGAAGTTAGGGAGTGGATAGGGATGAAAAGCATTCAAAAAAACTAGCTGTTTGGTAGTTGAAACTGTCGACTTATTCGAATAACTCAATAACTATTCGAATAGTTTGGATCAATCGCGTGGGTTGATAAACCAGTTCCTATTCGAATAAATGGGTGATTTATTTGAATAAATCAGGTTGAAAAACCAGGACTTATTCGAATAAGTGGTGGATTTATTCGAATATAACAGGTTAATTTCAGTCACAGGAAAGATCACGACTTATTCGAATAAGCTAAAGATTATTCGAATAGAAAGGCAACTTCCCCACACAAAGGCTGATCTAAAAAGTGTTTTAATGGTAGGATGATAAGGGAATGAACCTTAGAGATGCCATACTCTTTAACACATAATCTAAGACCTAAAACACTACCCAACTAAGGAAACAACCTCTTCGGTCTCGTTCCTTCCACCGATGCTCAAGTCCCTTCTTCACGGACGGATATGAACTTGTTGTAGCTTTGATTCTTAGCCTTGATGCACAATATGATGATGATGTTTTGTCACCCTTTTGTCATTATCAAAACCTAAAAGACAATGGGCAAANGGTAGGATGATAAGGGAATGAACCTTAGAGATGCCATACTCTTTAACACATAATCTAAGACCTAAAACACTACCCAACTAAGGAAACAACCTCTTCGGTCTCGTTCCTTCCACCGATGCTCAAGTCCCTTCTTCACGGACGGATATGAACTTGTTGTAGCTTTGATTCTTAGCCTTGATGCACAATATGATGATGATGTTTTGTCACCCTTTTGTCATTATCAAAACCTAAAAGACAATGGGCAAAAGACATTGCAAAAATATATATTCATGATAGCACATTGTCCAACAATTTTATTATTATAATATTATAAAATATTTATATTTATTTATTGAACTGTAACGTCTATTTTACCCATCACGCTTTACTCGTATGTCCAAACTTAACAAACTATATATCGTTGGTCACTATTTTACGAGATCTACCCAAAAACCTAATTCTTAAATAAAACGGTCAACTTTACAAATGGTTCATCGTTTTAAGTTAGAAAATAATATATTTATTTTTATTAAAATAATGACTAACTACTAAGCTGGTTTTTGGGTCGTTACATGTCATATCTGCGGCATGATCATTTTCTTGCATGGGCGTTATAGAATGCAGCCCGAGGGATTAACTCCTCGGATAAACACGGCCAGATTTCAGGGGATTGATCGATGAACACAGCGCTAGGGGATGGCACGTACAGAGCCATCACACTTTCCCACCCTGCCATCTTCGGGACTTAGTGACGGAACGAGAATCGCGCTAAATCACTGGACAACATAAATAAGGGCAAGATTGGTTCCCATTAACAGTTAGGCTAGCGAGCAGCGGGTCAAGGGCATATTTCCTTATGTAGATACTAATTGACACTTGGTCTACGCCCAAGGAAGAGCTTCTTGCCTTAATTGACCTCCTCACCCTATATATAAATAGATTGTAAGAGGTGGAGGAGGGAGATTCATTCATACACACATTTGTACACTCTTAAGACAAAGTAAGAAAGATGATTTCAGGCACAGGTCTTTCCTGGTCTAGGTCATTCTTGTGTTCTTATTTTCTGATGTGTTTGACTTACTTGATAGAGTCCGTTTTGACCAGGTCAGACCAGGTAAACCTACCCGGTTAAATTTACACCATCAGAGTCTATCCATACTCACGTGACTCAGCATTCTGCTTTTTGCATTATTAATATTAATGTTTCTGTGAAAAAATGAGTATTTAATTAGAAAGTTATCTCTTTTTTTCTCAAAAATTATACTTCCCCGTCTTAGAGTATTTATCTATTTTAACTTTTTCAAGACAAATTTAATCATCAATTAAATTGAATTTGAATTGGATAATAATAGAATGAAAAAAGTTCTTCCATCCCAATTTAAATGTCTGTTTCGTTTTATGATATTTGGCTGAATTTATTTTCAATATAATTTATTTGAGAATTGTTACTTAATTAAAAATTACTTATATATTTAAAAAAAATAAATCAAAATTTCTACGTAAAAGATGTGACATAACTATTTTATTTTATCAAATGAGTAACAAAAATATGGATAAAAAGTAAATAAAGTTTGACTCTGTAAATAGTAAACATGCAACTTAATTCGAGACGAAATGAGTAGCTTTTTCACAAGACAAATTTTTCGAAATCATTTTTGTATTGATATCCAATACACTATCTTTTTTAATTGATGATTGATGTTTGTTGAGTTTTACTGCAAAAAGTCAAACATGCCGAATATTAAAGATTAAAGGTAGTACATATTTAAATTATTTACATTATTTATAATATTGTTGTATATATCTAAAAGATTACATTAAAATTAAAAAAGAAATTACGATGTATAACTTTAATGTATATATATACTTTGATGTTTTGTTATTTTCAGTGTAAAATACAATTGCTAATGTTAATTTAAGTAATCTAAAAATAAAATTCATAACCGATGGGTCGACTCGAAGTTGGTGACACTATATCATGATCATGCATTTTTAAACCTGAACCTAATCGAAATTAAAATAACCAAAACCGAATTCGATGTGACCAACAAATAAGCCAGCTCTAGTATAGACCCAGGGCTATGCTTTGGCAAGTAATTGCGAACCACCAAGAACCAAGAGGCTGCTTACGTCAAAAGTATCGATTTCTCGTCTCATCCCATATTCCCACGGCTAATAGCATGGTGCCCGTGGTTTACAAAAATAGTGCATATTATTTTTGTGAACCTTCTCACATAAAAAAATTTTATTTTTTTATTTAAAATAATAAATACTTATTTAAGTAGTAAAAATGCTTATTTTACTCATATGTAAGGCTCCGTTCCGTTCAACTTATTTTTTTTAATCTGATCTGATTTTTTGTAGTTCTAATCTGATCTGGTCTAATCGGATCTGATCTGATCTGATCTGATTGGATCCGATCTGATCTAGTCTGATCTGATTAGATCTGATCTGATCTGATTGGATCTGATCTGTTTTGATCTGATCTGACTAATTATGGTTTGATTTAAAATTCAAATCCATAATTTGATTTGACTTTATACTAACGTTTGAAAATTGTAATGATAATTCATATATTAGAATAATCATTCATATTATAATGTAATAATATTTTTTATTTTATAAATTTTTTTGTGAAATTAGAATATTAATTTAATATTTTAATAATTACTTCATATATACATTAGAATAAATATTTAATTTATCTTATAGAAGAGATAGTATTTTTATTAAAATATCTCATCCTTATAAAAGATCAAAACTTTAGAAACTCAAATTACAGGTAGCAATAAAAATGTATTTTAAAAGTAGAATTAGATTGACATTGTCAATGTATTTTAAAAATAATTTTTCCGACGTCTAATAATTAAGAATTACTTTCTCAGTTAACTATTTAACTTGTTTCTAAAGTTTATTCTTTTTCATTTTTAAGAATAATAATAACAACAACAACAACAACAACAACAACAATAATAATAATTCTTGATGCGATCTGATCTGGTCTGATCTGATTGGATCTTGTCTGATCTGATTGGATCTGATCTAATTCGATCTGATCTGATCAGTTTCGATCTGATTTGATCTGGTCTGATCTGATTTTAATAAGAATAAGAAAAAATAAGTTGAACGGAACGGGGCCTAAGTCCATGGTGACCTAAAGTCCATCATAAAATTTGCCTGAGACACCAAAACCCTCTTTCTTTTAAAAATGAAAATAAAAGAGTGAAATTGAAGATAGAGAAAAAGAAAGGACATAAATTTCATTTTAACTCTAAGACTAGGTAAGAGGGGCATTTGCGCACTATTTAAAAATCACAAGGGTTTTACAAATAACTTTTAAAATAAAGGACGTTTTGGCACTTCTTTTGTAAACCACGGGGGCACCCATGCTATAAGGCTCATATTCCCATCACAATTCTATTGGTGATCTCTACGCATTAGATTAGTCCTGTGCTCGAACTGGCCCAAGAAGATGTTACTTTTTAGAAACCCAGTGGATTGGGTCGGGTGTTCCGGTTTCTATATTCCTCTCCAGGTTTGATTGTGCAACATATATATAGTAGTAGCAGTAGTACAAAAAATGGCACAAAAATGAAGTACCCGGTTTCGGATTGCTGCGAACGAGCATAAACATTCTTTGGTTCCAACAACAAAGAGCACAAGTCAGAAACTTTTTTGGTTGGATCAAAAGCTGGTATGCCAGATTGCTCCATCACCCTCTCCGCATCTCTGGTGCACCTCTTCCATTCTTTCCACCGATTTACACACTCCGCTGCAGCTCCAATCGAACGATGCCCCGCACAGATTCCCTGCCTGGGACTTCCACTCGCAATCTTCATCCCAAAGCAAGCAACAAAAGTTATATTGTCAATCACACTTTTATCTCCTTGCGGTTGTTAACCTTTTTATTAAAAAAACAATCATTCTGTTTTTAAGACATAATAACCACAGCTCGAGTGGGGTCAAGATAAAGTGACCTGTTTGTTATGTGAAATAAAAGCTTTAGACAGTCAACCCTCTCTATAAAAATAGTTTCTTTAATACTCTATCATGAATTTATACAGGGAAAACATTACTAAGGAATGCAAAAAATATTTTACGAAACTTACAAATGGCATAAAAAGCAATTGCGGGAATATTTTTGCTTGAAAGTTAGTATATTAAATATTTATTCTGTAAATGCAGTTATAAAGATGATTTTACAAAGAGTGTACTGGACTAGATATGGATGTTGCTTTTATAGACAGAATGCTATTATAGAAAGATAAAAAGTAACATAAAAAATTCATATATAGAAATATATGACTGTCAAAGTGAAATGTTGTTATAGGCATGTTTGACTGTACCTGCAAAATGTAAGACACAAGCACACACACACACACACAGCAACTCATTTACTATTCGAAGGTTAAAGAAAGGCATAATGCCAGTGTAACACTAACATTTTGTGTCAGGGCAAATCCTTGGGGTACAAAGTGGGGTACAAATATGGGGTTTAAGTAGAAAAATTCGAAAGAAAGCAATGATAAACAAAGCCACTCTGATTTGGTAACTTTAGGTAAATTAGATAATAAATGAGCTTCGTTGAGAAGAGTAGTAATGTATTACTCCGTATAAATCAGCAGGAAACTTACCAGGGGGTGTCCCACAACATAGGCTTCGGTCATCTATATGCTCTACATCAAGCCCAATAAACCAAGACCCAAGTGAAACATCTTCATTTGCAAATCTATGAAGTATGCCTCTAAGCAAATATATCATTGGATTACATGTCTCTCCGACAAGGCATTACACTGTACATATAAGCTCAATTCTCAAACCATTTGAATTTAAAAAAGACTAATTAATGTACCTGTTAATTGATATATAAGTAGCCAAATCCTTGGAAATTGCATATATTTGTCCAGTCGCGTGCCTAAAGTACTTGTTACCTTCCTCCCCAAATTTCCAGTATTCCGGTTCGTGATACTTAACACCTCTGCATATAACACAATTGAGTAAATGGACTTCTTTATACATTACTGTACTTTTGAGCGAGAACAGGACCAGGCTTACTTTTGTGCGAGAACCGGACCAGACTTCATGCAACCAACATAAATGCGAGGTTTAGAACGATGACGAGCTAATATTGAACCTACTATACCTGTTCAGAGGTTATTGAATTAACTTAGTAACTAAAACATGATTTTGTCCACCATTAACACTATGCTTGGTTCAAGGAATTAGAAAGAAAAAAAATAGTTTTCTCTCATTCTCCTCACCAAAATGGGAGGAATTTCGTTTTCCCTCCTCTTACTTCATTTTGCCTTCTCATTTTCTTTTCCTTCCACTTTACTTTTCTTTTCCCTTTGAAATTCCTAGAACCAAGCATAGTCTAAAAGTGCCATGAACTGTGGATTTTGGTGAGAATAAAGCCGGAGCCTCACCGAGATTCACATGCACGTCATCATCAACTTTGACATAGAAGTCAGCATCCCACTTTGCAGCAGCGGTTGAGAAGTAGATTTGGGTTTTTGTGGATAATTCGTGATATCCCTCTACATGATTCTGCATAAAGTTCCATAACATATATAAGGCAAGGGGACAATGCAATTCATCACAACAATGAAGACAAGTTGTTGGATGCATTTTAATTTCAGGTATGGAATGTGGACCAAAATTAGTTAGTACCAGTCTCAAGAAATCTTTATGTTCTGCTTCTTCAGCATCGATGGCACGATCCAATACGCCGCCAGGGGAAGCACTAAATGGTGAAAAAATCAATCTCATTAATTGCTACAGACATTGCCTTTAAACATTAACGGATTTTCTTAAATTAACAAAACTTACCTCTGGCCTATCACAAAACGTATTATAATACCTTTTTCTTTTTCCAACTTCTTCAGATTCTCCCCTGAAACAGTTCAGAATAAATTGAACACCAAAACATACATTGTCTACAAAGAAGGTGATAGGAAATTGGAGAATGGACCTATACCATTAGGCATCCAAGTTTCTCTAACTGAATCCCTCCGCTTTCTGCTGCTGAAACCAGTAATGATTCCCATCACAAAAAATAATTTTGGGCGATCATAAGAGGGTTCACTCCCTCGTTTTTCTTCCCCGTTGTCTGCTTTGGCAGCTCTGGCTGCAGCAAGCTCCATTTCTAGTGAAGATATTGTTTTATCCAATTCCCTGAAGGTTAAGTTTGACCCACATTGAAGCAGTGTTAGATGGAACAGAGAAAATATACTCTTATGATTAACATAGAAGAAATTGATGACACAATTACATGATCACATTGTGTGTTTGTGAAACCCGGGATAAGATATCTCTTTCCTGAAAGAAAAAAAAGACTTCCTACAATAAATAAGAGCGCCTTCAAGAATGGAGAAGTTTTAAAGTATGGAGAACTCTATTCATCAACCGGACTTGCCTTATTACGTCTGCACTTTACAGAAGGAAGAGAATCTCCAGAATTGAGTTCTTTTGGAGGAAACCCCTCTTTTAATGTTACGACAGAATCACGCACCGACAAAAACCTGACAGAAGCATTCAAGAAAATATTTACTTTGTTCATCAATAAATAGAATTCGGATTTCACTTCGTGCTTTAGGCCCAAAAAAATCTCATATGCTAATCAAAACAAGATTCGACTTTGTATGTAAAATCTAAACTATGACGGATCCGGGTTGATGAAGATTTTGAATTAAACCCACTGCCTATTCTTTGTTCTTTTACAAATTGAGCACACAAAATGTTTCTCCACAAAGATACATCAAACAGAAGACTTCCAAAAACAAAATGAGGCTTTGAATCACTAAATCAGAAAAGCATCTTTCTGAAGCCCTAATCTGGGCTTTCCCTAAAAAGACCCCCTCTTAAAAACTAATCAACAAACAGCAAATCATATGAAGTGGGTGGATATTGCAATAATCCAAATCCACAAATTGGGTCCTATAAGTGGAGAAGATCAAAGAACCCCACTCCAGCAAATCGAAGTATGAAAAAAAGCAGAAAACACAACCTGTTAACAAGAAGAACGCCGAAGAAAAAGCTGGAAATGCAAAGCAAGAAGACACATCTTGAAGATACGCCCTTCCCAGACTTGTGCAGATGCGGCCTGGTACCTGGAATCAACAACCCCATCCTTTTCTCTTTTTTTTCTTTCTTTTTTCTTTCACACCGTATTTCTTTAAGCCGCTTCACACACTGTAGAGGCGAGCAGCTTCAAAGAGAAGAAAGAAGCTAGCTGTGGAAGTTTAAACGCTTCTTAAGTCTTCACTAATCCCTTCAATTTGCATCAATTAAAGTAAAGAAGGAAACGAATGGCTTCATTAAGGTCAACATTGAAAAGGCGGTACTTAGCTACAGAAGAAGGAGAAGACAGAGTGAGGGGACGGGAAAAGATAAAAAATAAAAATAATACGGAGTAAAGGAAGAATCATGGAATATGTCTTTTTGTTTTTGAAAAAAAAAAAAAAGAAGTAGAAAATGACTTCACTAGACCCATATAGTATTAAACCTGAAACACAACAAACGGATACATTTTTCAACTCTGACAAATCGAATTAAGCCTTTGTGTGGTTACGGGTCGGGCGATACTTTGACAAATTGAATTAAGCCTTTGTGTGGTTACGGGTTTGGCGATTCGGGTTTTATACCGTCCTGAGTTTGGTCTTATTTTTTTCAAAAGATTGGCACTATAAGTGTATCCCTCTATATCCTTTAGAGCATTGGCAGGGGCGAGTAAAAAAATTGTCTCGCCCTGCCGTGAGGCAAACCCCAATCCCTTCACCGCCGTAATGGCAACCCCAATCTACACTCAAACATCACCAGCCACACCACCCCAACTACCGTCCACCTTCCCGGCCATCTGTTCGCCTTCTCCGGCACCCCAATCCCTTCGCCTTCGTCAGCAATCGTTGTGATCTCTCCTCCCTCCTATGCGAAATCACCAGCCGATCACTCCGAAGTGCGAAATCGCCGGCCGCCTGGAAAATCGCCGGCCGATCCTGGAAAATCGCCCGCCAAATGGTGAAATTGCCGGCCGATCCTGGAAAATCGCCACCTACTTGCCACCCTAAATATGCAATTTTTCCGTGCCACGCCACAATTGGAGTGACTTGCCATTGCAAACCATGGAATGCCACACTCTTTGCACGATCAATTTTGATTGGTTGGAAGGTAACACGTCATCTCATGGCATTCCATTGCAATACTCGCCACTGTCAGTGCTCTTAATCGGGATATTTCGGATTGAGACAATAGTTTTGGGATTTTTGTCTACCACTACCTTTGCCTGTCAAAAAATTTTAAAAAATGTAAGCCTTTGTGGTCGTAACCAAATTTGACATAACCTTCTAACACATTTGAAGATTAGACATGTCCAACAATGGATCCCCACCGGTCTATTTATATTGGTGGGTTTGTCCCACCCAGATTTACTTGAACTAAAAAGGTTAAATAGCTTGAGAGTCCTCTATAATTTGAAATTTTGGTACCAATATTATCTCAATTTTCAAAACTTATTTTTAAAATTCCTGTGATTTTTAAAACGTTGCACCCACACCCCCTCTGATCATCTTCCAACGAAGAGGAGTCATTAGTGCGTATTTTCTAAACCATAGAAGGCACACATTCTTATTTCTTATTTTTTGTTTATTACCTTTTTTCCTTTTCTTTAAATTTTTTATCTCATTTTTTCTTTTACCTAGAAGAAAAATAAATCATCTTTTGATATGATTTTATTTACAAATTTATATATCGATGAAAAATAAAAATTACATATTAAAAAACTACGTCAAAAGTTCTACAAAATAAGAGGTGACAAGAATACTTTATTTTATCAACTAATCAACATAACAAAAAAAATATCGAGAGGAGAAAAAACTTATAATCAAAATTAGGACAGAGAAAGTACTAATTACTCATTCTTTTTAAAATCAGATGATATCAGATTCATTTAGGTTAGATCAGAATTGTCATTCAGGTCAATTAAGATTCAAATTCATTTTGCTCGGATATCTTTTGGATATATGATATAATCGGTTCAGTTTGGTTTGCTTTAATTCGATCCTAATCTAATTTGGTTCCATGGAATGTCGGATTTTTGTTTGATTTTGGACTAGTTCATGATATGGTTCAGATTTAAATGGTTTCAGATAGATCGGGGTTTCAGATAGTTTATGGTTTGGTTTTTTTTCCAATATATTTTAGCTTGAATATATTTTGGTTCAGATATATTTTAGTTCAAATACATACTCATATTATTTTTATATTTAAATTTAAAATTACCATTTCCTTTTTTGTCATAGCTTTTTTGTTAACCTATCATCACTTCATTATTTTATATTATTTACTCGTATCTTTTTCGTAACTATATTTTTTATTTTTTTCATTCTCCATTCACTTTATTTATGATTTTTAGATTTTTCGCCCAATATTTTAAATTTTAAAATTTGCACTCCATATTCCATTTCTAAATTCGCTAATTCGGCATGTAAGTCTAGGGTTGTAAACAAACCGAATCGAATCGAATATTCATGAAAAATATTCATATTCGTTAAGATGGAGTGATATTCGAATTCGAATTCGAATTTGGTTCGAATATTTTTTAAGATTCGTATTCGGTTCGTTTAAAATTATTCAGTTCATTTAGATTTTAAAATATTTTATAACCATTTGATATATATATATATATATATATATATATATATATAGACACACACACACACATATATATATAATTTATATAATTAGATTTATATTCCGAATATATTTGTCAAACTCACGAATCGAATACCCTTGATTCATATTCGTATTCGATAAGAATTCGAATATTTATTCAGATTCGTATTCGTATTCGGATTTGTAAAAATCGAATACGAATCACCTTAAACGAATACGAATCACGAATCGAACAAAAAATATTCGATTCATTTACGTCCCTATGTAAGTCTATTCCTACTTTCTCTTTCTCTAGGCTTTCTCCTCCACTCAATCTTAATCATCTCCCACGCATCGGTCTTCCACATTAAAGATCAAATATAAGTTTATAACAACTAGTATCACACCCGTGCGTTGCACGGGTCATTTTTATGTTATTAAATTCAAATCATTTTTCAATGATAAAAAATGAGATGCAATAAAATATAGAGATTATATTATTTTAAGATACAAAATATCACTGCTTTACAAATTTCGAAAGACTTCTTTATAGACTACATTATTTGAACAATTTATGAGAATAATGTTTTCATTGCATATTAGAACCTTCAACCCACTACGATTAGTTACTTTTGAAACTGCAACATAAAATTGTCCGTGACTAAAACTTGTTGGATTATTGTTACGGAAATATGCGATGACCACTCATCAACATTTTTCAAAGCAGTTAAGATACCCATTTTTCGTAGGAATGACAATTTTGAAACGTAGGGGAAAAAATTCACGATGATTGTAATGGCTATGAAAGCTTGGTAAATGGATGTATTTATAACATGATTTTTGCATACGGGGTCTTAGAATAAAAGAACAACGCTAGAGGGGGGGTGAATAGCGTTTGATCAAAAATCGCAGGAATAAAAATGAATAAACGAGAAGTAAAGAGAAGAGTAAGAGGCACACCGATTTTACCCTGGTTCACCACAACTTGTGGCTAATCCAGCCTCCCGAGAGACTCTCTCGAGCTACACTACTATCTCGTTAAGCTTAACGGTGCTTAACAAACCCGTACAACTTGAGAGTTCGAGTCACACGAACCTCAACAAACCTTCGAAGGAAACAACCCTTCCTTCGAACAACAAGAGAAATACTTTCTCTTGTCAAGTGTCTAAGAACACAAAAAAAACTCTCAAGAACAATACTCTCTTTTAGAGTGGATAATGAGTAACTAAGTACGCTCAAGAACGCAACACAAGCTTCACAAAAATGGCTCTCAAAAAGCTATGAAAAAGT